TTAGACTTGGATGTAAGGTATGACCTTATCCTCGGTATGGCATGGTTGGAACACCATGAGCCATGAATTGTTTGGAGGCCGAAGACCTTGAACGCTACGCGCACGTCTCCTAGTGGATCTTTGGTGAGTCATGAACTCACCTCTGCAAGGAAGCAGAAGCGCTATTGGAGCGAACACTGGACTGGAAAGGTCAATGTGCTGTATATCGTAGTTCCGAGTTGTCAAACACCATAATTGTATTGGACAAGAGTCTCGAGCATGGATCGCGGGCTGAACGTGGAGTGGCACGTAACTCACTGAGTGCTGCTCAAGTATTAAGGCAGTCGCTGCATGCCAAGAGTGGCATGGTCGGACGAGGTCCGAGGCATCAAGGGCGAGGCCCTTGTGATGTGCGTTGAGTTGCACGTGATCCACTGAGCAGTGCTCACTTTTCGAAGCAGTTGCCGCATGCCAAGAGTGGCATGGTCGGACGAGTCCGAGGCATATTAGGCAAGGCTCTTCCGATGCGCGTGGAGTGGCACGTTCTCCGCTGGACGAAGGCTGCGGAAATACCAGTTCTTCGTCGGATGTTGATAATATCATCAAGGCTTCGATGAAGCAGGGAGTGGAGCTGACACTGGATGTCACCGATCGCGAGTTTCCAGTGGTCTCGATGAGACGTAAACTCCTATAAAGAGGAGACGGCAAAGCCGTATGTCATCTGCAAGACGCCGGGCGTCGATCTTGACCCAGGGTGTGTCTACCGTAGGCGATAGCGCACAGCTATATACCCTTATTAACGGTATGACGGGAGAGAAAGACGGCGACGTCACCCTCGCGGCAATTTCCGCGGTGGATGCTCTTCTAGAGCTGGACGAGTTGCCCTTCAAAGAGTTTGGCGGTGCCTTGAAGGCAGCCTATATAGCCGAGGTGGTCATTTTAAGACCGAAACAGGAGATTAATTCGTCGTCTCTTCTAAATTGAGCTGCTCTGGATGACACTAAGAGGATGCTGAACGCACGAAGGCGATTGTCGATCCTGAAGGATCCGCGGATTTGTACTATCCTTTGTTGAAGGAATTTTACGACGTCGTCTCCAAAGATCCGCCGTCGATCCTGCCCCAGACCGAAATGTGTGTCACGAGATTGTCCTGGTTTCGGATACCAAATACTGCGTAAGACGCCAATGGCTCCTGCCAAGGAGCAATGCGACGTCATTGACGCCTTTTACCGTGCGAAGCTGGACGCAGGGGTGGTGCGTGAGAGCAAGTCTATCCATTCGACACCCGCGTTTTGTGTCCGCAAACCGAAAGGCAAGTGGCGTATCGCTCACGCTTTCAATAAGCTCAGCGCTGCCACCATTTCGGCACAGACGCTGGTCCTAGGAATGATGTTCTCCAGAACAATATCGTTGGCTGTACAAAGTACAGCACACTCGACTTGGTCGATGGTTAGTACCAATTGCTCATGGGAGCGAGTGATATTCCGCTGACAGCGGTGAGAACTCAGAGCAGTATGCTTTGCGAATGTGTGGTGATGCCCCAAGGGGTGTCAAATGCACCAGCAACATTAAATCGTCTTGTGACACAGTTGTTCAGGCCTCATCGGGCGTATGTACAGACATACTTCGATGACATCTTTGTCCGCAGTCGTGCGGGGCACAAGACGACAGATGTGGAAAATCACATCGTCCATTTGATAGCGGTGCTCGAGTGCATGCGCACGAATAAGCTAATGCCGATAAGTGCATCTTTGGCGCGGAAGACATCCCCGTTTCAGGGTGCTTCATTAGGAAGCATGGCCTTCGAGCGGATCCCGCTATGGTCAGGGCCATTGTAAACTCGCCGGTTCCAAATAATCAAAAGGACTTGCGCAACTGGCTTGGCCTCACCAACTACTTGCACAAGAATACCACAGATTATGTGGAATGATACGGCCATTGACTGATCTTCTTAAAAAGGATGCGGAATGGTGTTGGGACACCGAGCATCGGGAGGCTTTTGACAGGGTCAAAGACAGACTCCTTCATGCGCCAATACTGGCGTTGCCAAACCCTGATCGTCTTTTCAGTGTCTACTGTGATCTTTCGGACCTTGCCATCGGCTGTGCACTGCGGCAAGCAGACGCCGAGGGGAAAGATCGGGTGATTGCGTCCGAATCTCGCCAACTGAAGGCTGAGGAGAGAAAATACCCAGTCTCAAGAAATTACTTGCGATGAAGTATGACCTTGACCTCATAGTCCGATCTGCGTGACAACGCATCAGCCAAATCATTCTGCTTTCCCGACTCATAATTCACCTCCATGCAAAGAATGGGAGCCATCTGACCATCCTCTGCGAGAGGTGAGGTGACTGGGTCGCAGTGCGTAGTGAATCATGATCTGTGTAGATCACAAACGAGTGTGGCGATGGTAAAACTTCATTTTAAGGCCGCAGATGATACATGTATTCTGTTGCGTTTGTTCAGACCATATCACCCACGTTTATGCTTCATTTAATATACCTTGCTTGCTGACAAAGCGTACCGTGATCCTTTATTCTGACCAGATGAATTCATCGTTTCTGATACGAAGTGGGGTAAGTAGGTTGAGCTATTATTGATAATCACATCCCAGATAAATTTAATCCATTCATATAAGACGTGAGGAGAACGCAGAAGCTATAAAATCGATTGATAACAATTGATGTGAAGCCTGTGAATACCTAAATGGCATGTTCTAAGACAAATTTACTGTTCAGAAACATGTCGCTCAAACACCGCGGTCACTTAATGTGTGTCTTTCGCAGAATACTTTTATTAACACAGTTGACATATTTCGTTTTGTCGTCAATCTATCGATAATTCAATGTAAGAATATTCAATCTGCCGCCAGGTTTGGCTGTATCACACAGGTTACGATCCAGGACGATTGGCAAAAGCAAGTTAATTTGGCCAAACGCTTTGTCAAGTGCTGCTTGGCCGTATCTTCATGTCGCGGATAGCAGCAAAACGACCCACTTTGCTTAGATTAGTCTACGACTACCACTAAATCGAAACTCCTCAAAGCGTCTATGTAGAAAAATTTATGATTAATACTCAGAATTGTCAGCGCTTCGCTGAAACCAACGGGCCGGCTAAAGTCGTCGAAGCATGCTTGGAAGGTTCACTATTTGACTCTTCCACTCGTGGCCACACGATGGTTTGTCCAATTCTAAAATTAATTCACCTGGACACAGCGCTCACCGAGCCAAATGTCTTTCATTCGACCGCTGACTTTGTAGAGAAAAGTTTGTGCCGCATTCGGAATTTTACATTTGTGTAATTCAAGCACACGTTATTTTAAATGTAAATTTGCGCGGTAATGGGCGGACCTTGCGATGAAGAAAGCAGTGTCACCCGCGTAAAAACATTTCGATAAGGCAGGTTCTACTATCAAACTTTTTTGCTGCACAAGATTGAGCTGCATTGTGAAAAACGCAGCTCAACCGGCGTATTCAAATTGAACGCCGTATGGGTAGCATCGTTGATACTTCGTATGGTTAGCATCGTTGATTTTGCTGGCGCCACTGTAATATATGATAGCTTTGAATTTTGAATGACGCAAGCGCAAAAGCGCATCCTAAGCCACAATAACACGCCCAGGTCTGTACGTTCCCTTCAAATTATAATACGATGGATACGATGTACCGTTAATCTGACAAGAGCCTACGTCGAGGTTAGTGGCTCTTTATCATGAGAATCATAATGATTCTACACAGCATTATGCAAGCAGAATTCAAACACAGCGTATTCATATCCATTCGCATAGCATATCGCAAAGACCAAAGCGTAAAAAACGACATGGAACGAATGGTTCTGTCCAAAAAGTCAGAATATGGGTGTATATGAGTCTTTCTTTAACAGTATCGAAGGCCACCTCTACTACAATAGAATATTACATATTTTTTCAGGCGATTTGTGAGGAAATGTTCTGTATTAGCATAGGTTACATTGTACGCGCGTGGCAAATTTAGAGCGCAGATCTGCTCGCATACCATACTTCTCAATGAATTGTTTTGGATATGGTAGCACTTCATCGACATTTGGCTACTTCGGCGAACAGCTAACGTTAGTATAGACGTAAACCCTCGAGCTCTGCCTACCAGTGTCTGATGAGGACATACACATCTGACTCTTCGTGCTCTGCGCAATCGCAGACGAATACATCGTCAAAATATGTATGTATGTGTATAGGACGATGTAGCTTAAACGCAATTTCACCAAACGATTGCTAACCCCCGTGTGGAAGACGGTTTTTATGGCCATAACTAGCCGCTTCCAAAGGATGCTGATAAAATTGTCAAAGGGACGGCACAATTTCCGTGGTAATTGGTGATGATTACCAACTAAGTGAATATTGTATGAATATTGTATGATCGACTATGCAATTGTGCAGCCTGTGATTTGGGATCGGCTTTTGCGCCGGAAAATGGCCGCATTAGCTTTATTTAAATCGCATCTTTTGTGAGCCTCAAAACACAAAAGGTTGGCGACTAGTGAAATTAATTATCTGTCACCAACCACTCTACGAGCATTGCTCAGAAGCAAGCCGCTATGACGGCGAATAAATCTGTTCTTTGCAAATGCTATTGTCTTGCGTCGCAGGATTTGCTCCCATGAACCAATTCTATATCATAACACAATCTTTAGTCCCATGCGTAAATGTTTTGTTCACTAAACCAAGCCATTACTTTGGTAAGAATATAGAACCAACCCACTAATTCTTCCCAGCGATCTGCAAGTGAATATCATCAAAAATGAACCCATCTACGACAGATTCTCATCCTTCGGTAATAACCATTCCAATCTAGAAACTTCACTGTCTTTCAATCTTTTGCAAATTATTTCTTAACGAAAACTCTCAAACTCGATCAAAGCTTATACCAGAATTCATCACATCGGTCACTCCAAGCACGAGTGAATGTCCCGTTTCGCCACAGCTCATGGATCATCACTGCCCATGCGGTGGGCAGGACACCCGGTAGTGCTGCCGTTACATCGTAACACTTCTTGCCGGTTAGACCGCTCTGCGTCTGATATATCCTCCTTATGGGATCCGTCAAACGGCTCTGCGTGAGAGCTCGACTTTTCGACAGTGCTGCTCATCAACTCAGGGATATATCTCTTACCCCTCGCATGATTGAGACATCAAAATCTTATACTACTGGCGCGCTCGTAATAATCCACCCCCTTATTCAACTGTGTTGTCGCACAGGCTGTGGGCAAAGAAGTCCGTCCTGATTGAGCGAAGGAGGCTGTGATGGGCCTAATTTCAAGCTACCACTCGATTTCACGGCCTATCAGCGTCTTGGTAATTTAAAGAAGGCAATAACGACAATTTGTCTGAAAGAAGTAACACCGGAAAGTTGAAGATACCAGGTTTAACCAATTGTCCAACCGATCTCCCACGAAACGTGTATGGTGGCGCCGTTTAATTTCGTTGCCCCGGCAGGGATGGTGACATCGACATTCTTGAAATTGCTTAACCGTTTGGCTTCTTTCGTGAAGGTGTGAAACGGGCACACTATCGGGTACGTTGGGTCTACGAAGCGACTTAATTGGAAAATGAGGCTTTGCTCGAACCATCCCCAATTCAATTGCTTTGCGAAAGTTTGATGTGCGATGTTTGTACCTGTCTTGCCTATATCATTACACCGATGATAACCCATATAATTTTGATTACCGTTCTTTTGCGATCGGCCGCTTCTAGTACAAAATGATAACTTTAGCATCAAATTATACACTTGACTGCTCACCCACTTCGTCTTCATCATTTTGCCCGAGTCCCTACAGACCCGAAGTCTGTGACTGAGAAGGCACTGCTGCTCTAGTTTCTCTCGTTGCATAGCACACCATTATTAGCAATTCGAATTTCCTTAACCTCATTATCTTACGTACATTACATCAATTAAGCGGTGAAAGAGTGTATGTAAATTCTGATTACATCTTAAGTGGCATACTTACAAATTTACTTGGCACGTGTTCAGCTTTCATTAATTGGCTGATTCGTATTATAATGTTGATTGGCTGACCATTTATTATCAAGGCTTAGGTTTGCCTGAGTGCTGTGATTGGCAATTTAGTGGTATTGCCACCGCATATGAGGTAATGCACTTTTTGGCTGCGACCAACTCAGCGGCGCTGAATTGTGCACTCATATCTGGCTAGATTAAAGCAGTAGCTGGACATTGAACACTCAACTCTGACGATGGACTTCGACGATGACATGTCTGGATTGCAGATTGAAGATCTTGGCGAATATTTTCTGCAGACGGACATCAACGACAGCTGGAAAGGATTTGCACTAGGTTACACGGACGAAGAGTATCATCAGAATCTTCACGAGGCAGCAGAATTTCAGTTCTTCGAAGTTATAGGGAGTGATGCTACTATAAGTGCTCAAAATTTAATGTCACCATCATTAGCAAGCATCTCGGAGTCGCTGAACGTTGGTAATGAAGTGGGAATCGGTTTGAACAATAGCTTCTCTTATAAGGACGCTTCTAATCCTTCCTCGATTAAGCCCACCTCTGTTAGTGCCAACTCAGAGACAATCATGATTAACAGATTAGAACAAGATACGAGGCAGCTCAAGAACTTTAGTTTGGAAGGGCTACAAAAAGTGGAGACAGTGGCAGTCGTGAGCTCAACGTCACCAGCACAACATGGTGACAGTAACAAAGCTGTTGCTAAAAAGGCAATAAGTCCGCTGTGCCAAAATATCTTGGCCGGCACTGACGATGATATGAACAGCAATGGAGTAATCAGCTCATCTTGTCGGTACGTGGCATATTTCTACCTGTACGACTGTCATTATTTGTGCTTGACGAGAAATTCTGCCCTCTTAATGGCTCTTAGAAATATTGGCTTAATGGACGCATCGTGCGAACCAAGCGGATGCTCGACTATCGGCAGTACATCATTTATTGGTATCTCTGACGATGGCCGAGGGTTTCGCAAGAAATCGCGCGAAAAAATGCGTCGTCAAGAAGTTAATACAAAGGTATGCGCCGTTATATCTTTATTTGTGATCACTCAGTTGCTAAATTGTGTCGCAGTTTGAAGAGCTAGTAGTTCTGCTGGGCCTCTCGAGTCGTGTGCGCAAAAGTGCTATCTTGCAGGAAGCTTTATCCAATATTAAAAGTCTTAAACGGGAGCGTGATGAACTGCGTCGCGATCGTGATCGTCTGCAACTTGAAGTAAGCAAATTAGCGACGTGTTTGCAGTACTCGCACCTAGAATCAGGACCTCCTGTTGCCATGACCCAGCCTGACCAGCAGCATATGAATGCGTCCACGCAACAATATGGTCAGCAGCATGGACATCAAGTGTCAGCACATGTGAATAGTATGCGGACAGTACAGACATATCCAGATGATGTCCCACGCAACTCGGTGCGTTCAAATGAACTTCCGGGGTCTGACTGTCTCGAATCATTCTCATTGCATGGTCAACAGGATATAAACTGCTTCCCACTTACTTCAGCATTTTCCAGTATTTCTTCACAGTCAAGGTCACTTTTATCGTCAAAATCCGGTCAGGTTGCGATCGCCCCCAAATTATTTAACAATAGTGCATCCGACACAGCTATAAGGTAAGTGATCAATTAGCAGCCATGTCGCTGGCTTGATGCGTGAAGTTCGGTATCCGAATCATACCGAAACAGAATTGATCGCAATTTTATATGGGCGGTCGGGAAAAAACATGCTTTCAAGGTTCGCATTCTTTCCAACAAGTTGTTGGCGAGTCAGGGTCTTTTGCTGCCAGGTTTTCTTTTTAGAATAAATATACCTCGGCAACAACATTATCGCTGAGCTAGTTTGTGCAGATCGTCAAAAATACACGAACTTTCAGTAGTGTACATTTGTACTACAAGTCGGTAAAAACCGGCTCTAAAGCAAGGGTCAGTGTGTCCAGCACGATGATACTGTTCATTCGCTGTGTATCCAGGGTTCAAGATAAAAGATCGTGTGAATGAAAGTCTTTCTTTTCTGTAAGTTTAAGATTTCATAACAGAATCATTTGATATCCAGGGCGACTATGGTGCAGACTCGTTCGCACGGAAAAGCAAGCAAGATTAAGGCGTCATTCAGAAGACTGCCGAAAAAAATTCACAGAATGAACCGGTTGAGCAATTGTGACCATCAAATTGCTTTGTCTTCTAGCGCGTAATTTCTCAAAGGCTTCGTGTGGTGATATTTTCGAAAGCTGCTGTCGTAGCCGTCAGTTAATTATGATGTAAAATAAAGCACAACGATAAAGTGAAGGGCATCAAGGTCACGCGTATGGAGTTTCCAGTCAAATTTACAGACTGAAGTATCACCACGACGACAATTATTTGCTGCACTTTGTTTATCCTCAATTTACTGGTCCTGTATATTGACTTCAAACTTGAGCACGATGTCGTGGCAAAGGATCGCACGAAAGTATATTCAACTGAATGATCTTACTACCCCGTTTCCTCACACTAATCAACTGCGCGCAGCGTCGAATGTTTCTTTGATTTTGTCCATGAAGTCTTCCGTGTAGAGGTAGTGGTCCGGAGTCACGTTAGAACCGTGAATGCATATAGCCAGGTCCTTAGTCATGTGGCCAGCCTCCACCGTCTTGATAACGGCATCTTCTAAGCCCTGGGAAAAGTCAATAAGCTCCTGATTGCCGTCAAGCTTGCCGCGGTGAGACAAACCACGAGTCCAGGCGTAGATCGAGGCAATGGGATTGGTACTCGTCTTCTTACCCTTCTGGTACTGGCGCCAGTGGCGAGTGACTGTACCGTGAGCAGCTTCAGCCTCCACCGTCTTTCCATCAGGAGCGACCAGCACGCTGGTCATCAGTCCGAGTGATCCATAGCCCTGGGCTACAATGTCCGACTGAACATCACCGTCATAGTTCTTGCAAGCCCAGACAAAGCCACCGTCACTCTTGAGTGCCTGGGCGACCATGTCATCGATGAGTCGGTGCGTGTAGGAAATGCCAGCGGCATCGTACTTAGCTTTAAACTCACTCTGGTACACCTCCTCAAAGATATCTTTGAACCTTCCATCATATTTCTTCAGAATCGTGTTCTTAGTAGACAGAAACAGATCCTGGTTCTTGCTCAACGCAAACGACAGACACGACTTAGCAAAACCGTAGATGCTTTCATCAGTGTTGTACATGGCGAGCCCAACACCAGGTCCTTTAAAGTCATACACCTCGAATGTCTGCTTCTTGCCGCCGTCAGCAGGCGTGTATACGACCTCAAATTTGCCTGGCCCAGAAGCGATGAAGTCGGTGCTCTTGTACTGATCGCCGAAAGCATGGCGACCTACAACAATGGGCTTTTTCCAACCAGGAACAAGGCGCGGTACATTGGAAATGACGATGGGTTCGCGAAAGACCGTTCCGTTTAAAATGTTGCGGATGGTACCGTTGGGCGAGCGCCACATCTTCTTCAGTTTGAACTCCTCGACGCGCTGCTCATCCGGGGTAATGGTTGCGCACTTAATGCCTACGTGGTTTTCTTGGATGGCATGCGCAGCGTCGACGGTCACCTTGTCATCGGTGGCATCACGGTGTGGCAAGCCCAAATCAAAGTATTCAATGTCCAGATCCAAGTATGGGTTAATGTACTTGTCCTTGATCTGCGACCAGATCACGCGTGTCATTTCGTCACCATCTAACTCTACAATTGGCTTGTGCACTTTAATTTTTTGGCTAGTAGCGAAGCCGCGGCGCGCAGGTGCGGCCATTGAGCGTAGGGTCTTAGCGAACATAGTCAAGGATTGAGTAACTGGATCTAAGTGTTGATAGAGAGGGGGTCAAGCGGAGCCGCACGCGGTAAGTGGCAATAATTACATATATGAACATGATGTATACCGAGTACTGTATACTACAAGATGCATTATTAATAAAAAGGTATCTGCAACATGCGAAATGGCTCAATCATTAAAATTAGTGAAGACGTTATCTTGCAATTAATATTGACAAGATCGTGAGCAACACAAAGTGCTGGCTAGCTCGTGAACGCCACATCTGGTTATGATTTGTCATTTCCATGTTATGCAGACATGAGGTTAGCGTGAAGGGTCTCGAATCGGTAAGCGATCACAAATCTTTACAAGAACGAATTCAACGAATCTGACGCCTTACCAGGGGCCTCTGGGACGACCGTGCAAATGAGAATCCCATGGCAATCTCAACCTCTCCTAAAATCGTTGCCACCGCAAAATCGTTGTTCGAAAGGCAAACCTATTATGGTCACCACCATACTGACAATGAAAGCGGTGACAATAAGTATGTACTTAGAGCTACCGGCCAAGCCCACATCTCATTGCAAAAAACGTAACTTTTTAGATACAGAACAGTAAACGAAAAATTTGGTTAACATCAAACAGCAGAAATACTACTTTTTTACAGCTAGCAATGTTTCCTCATCAAAAAAGCACCATCGAAAATGACATAAATGCAATCTACCTAATACAATACAATCAAGAAGAACCGTAAGTGGCGCCGCGTAATGAGAGCTGAACGAGCAAAGGACTCATCAACTGATGATGTGAAGGTGATCAATGGCCTTGAGGGCGCGGGAGGCACGCGCATGAGCTCGGCGAAGATAGGGAACTGACTCGACGAATGATGACTGGGATCGGCGATTCACT